AGAGAGAACAGCGTCCTTCGGTTTTCAATAGAAAAACGAAAAGACATTTTCGCGAGCGAACGCGATCGAGTGAGGTTTCAAAAAATCATCAGTGCGACTGTATACTTAGGTATACGTTTCTATCTATGACTTCATTATGCTGAAATAAATTTTTTCCTACGAAAAGATCGTGTATTCTTATTCCCTCTTGCTATTCCTTCTAATAACAACATCTGTTTTCTATTGAAAGTTGTAGAAAATATTTCGGATCAAACGAATATTTAAAGAAGAGAAAAGATTTTTTATATTTTATTATTACATTTTTTTATATAAGTTCATTTATAATATATTTTTAATATAAGAATAATATAAAATAAATATATATATATAACCTACTTATATATTTCATTGAATAACGACATCTGTAACTTTATATAAGACAGTCGTCTGTTAAACGATCAATGCGATAATTAACTGACGACTCGTTTGATGGACAAATTAGAGAATCATTTTTGGATGGCTAATTTCCCGCGGATTACGAGAACACGAAACGAGATCGAAATTTGTGTGCACGAAAGGGAAATTTTTATGGTCGCATTATGAGAGGCGGTGTTACATGAACGCGGTGGCGATGGTGAAATGTCCATTAAATGGAGAACGGGGACACATTAAACACGCGATTAATGGAATTTACATGCAGAGCGCACACTGCGCACGAAACGTACACCGTGTACACGTAAATCGTGAGCAATCCCGTTAGGTAAGTCCAAGTCTCACAATGCTTTTTTACTTCCATCTGCCCGATAAAAAGTGTTGCAATTGGATATTTATAGCCGTATATAGGATACTTTGCGAGTAACAACAGATATAAAAATGAAATACGAAGAACAAAGAACATGGAATGAGACATCATTAATATATATAAATGTTTTATTAACAAATAAAATACTACATCATTAACAATTTTATATAACATTAAATATCTAAAACATTATATAGCAAAAACAAAAACTTAACATTTTTTCAGAGAAAGATCTATTAAGAAGAATCTATATACAAGAATATATAATCTCAATTTAATTCTTAATAGTCAAAGGTGTTTCAATTCTGTAATTAGCAACTCTGATAGAAATAATAGCATAAAAGAAGAAAATTATTATTATATTTTTCTCTTCGCTATCATTCTTTTTTTCTTTTTTCTTCTAAAATCAATTAAAAGCATTAGAATCCAGAAAATTTCAAATTTGCGAATATTTTTGTCATTAGTCAATAAATTGCACCTAGGTATAATTATTATAATGTAATATTTGCCAATTGTGCACGTGTACTCCACTGAAGATAAATCTAAAAATTAAAAATTTTTATAATTAATATCATAATCGGAATTTTAATTAGTATTTTATATATAAATTTGTGCACTTTTAAAAATGAAATTAATTCCTTATCGCTTTTTAGTTCTCTTTTAAATAAAGCTTATTAAAATGACATTCTCATACGTCTCTCCACTATTAGAAAATGCTACTTCATATCGGATCATTCATTTTAAAAATGGAATAAACTAAATTTAAAAAAAAACCACATCATCATTTAGTACTCGAATTCTTTGTTCTTCTACTTAAACTCTTTTAACACATCTGGCTTAAATCACTTTCAAAATGATTAGCTCACGCATATCATATCCAATGATTTACTTCTTGATGTATGTACTTTTCCTTTCAACAGAGACCTACACCGCCATAATCGGCCGACCTGTCGCATTTCGAAAGTTAATGATTCGCCGAGTAATCGTGCTGGGAAGGCTGAAAATGGGCTTGATTGCCGTTTTGCTGATCGTCGGCCGTTCCATGATCTTGAACGTTGACGGCATAAGAGTTATAGTTGATCGTCTCATGATCGGCATGACCATTTCCAGCATCAGTTTCAACGGCACCTTCGTTGTGATTTGATTGCGGGATCGTGATTATCTTCGGTACCGAGATGAAGACTGGCTTGGTCAATGCAACCGGATGCGGCACTGGAACCGGATGTGGTATAGGCACCGGTTTAGATATCAGGAACGGCACCTAAATTGAGAATTTAGTTTGTTTTTATTTACAATTCTAGAATAAATCCTTTTTTTCTCAGCAACTAAAAGAGCATATATAAAATGCAAACATTACTGTTTATTGAAATTGCAATATCAGAAAGTAGTAATTAGTTAGAAAGTTTTTTGTTTTGTCTCTTGTTATATGTGGAAAATTACAATTTTCATAGTATTAATATAATGAAATAGAAAATTATAAAATAATATTAAAAATAAAAGTTCTGCAGATTTTTATATATTTCGAGGATTTTTCCATATATTGCAATTTTAATAAAATAAAAATACAAAGAAAACTGACGTGTTTAAAAAAAAATAAAATTATTGAAAGATCTTTTTATTAACAATTTATACCTGCTGATGCAGCTCCACCGGAAACGGCTTCTCCACCGTTACCGGCACATGTTGTGGTACTTTCACTATTTGCGGCACCGGAATTGCCACAGGATGTTTCACAGGCACTGGAAACGGAATATGATGGGGCACCTAAAAAACGGAAAAAAATACTACAACAAATACTACAACCAATCATATATGCGAGAGATAAATGCATTGAGATTAATAAAAGAAATATAGAGTATATATATCGCGATATTTTTTTTATGCTTTTCAATATTAAAATAATATAAATTAATGTATATATACCCTCATTATTATTTGGCGTGAATAATTTCAATACCAAAATATATAAAAATAAACACGCAAATTTGTAAAATTTATTTGAATATTATTATTTTTAAGCATCCGCCTTTAAATAAGAGAGAATAAAGTTGTAGGATTTACTAAATATTTGTATTTATGTTTACTTCCTTTTTCTTACTTTAAAATAGTGATATTGTATCTGATTTTGTGTGCGACATGGTAAGAAGGAACGTTTAATCTTCATATTTAATTTTGTCGATAAAAAGTTAATTAGCTTCGAGTTGTCATTTTCTCGAAAAACTGCTCACCTTAACGGGATACGGTACGGGGACCTTGATAGCTACTGTCTTGGTGACCTTGATAACCTTGGTCGGCACTTCGTGCAGATGTACCGACTGTGAGATGAGCTTGGACTCATCTGGCCCCAGACCATGGCCTTCGTAAAACGAGGGCCTAGCCGTGACCGCCGTCGTCGCCAGCACGAATAAAAACTGCAAAGATGTAACGTCGTAAGAGCGTAACGAACTTGACAAATAACCAGCAATTTGACACATCTGTGTGAAATCACAGCAATTACTACCAAAAAAAGTTTAAGCGATCAAGATTTAAATAAATCTTAAACTTTAACCAAAATTCGCGTTAAATTAATGATTATCAATTTTTGTACATAGTTTAAATAAATAATAGAATAATAGCAGCTAGTAATATAATATACAAATATAGAAATAGAGCAATAATATTTTTAATATTTAAAATTGATTAAGAACGAATATTTTTTTCTCTCCGAATAATCAAATTTAAAAACAAAATTTTCTAGATGATTGCTTTAATCATTTGTTTCTAAATCCCAGAAATTTTATCTTGAGATCTAATTTAGGAACTAATTATAGTTCACCAAGATAAATTTCACAGTTCATATTTCATGATCGTCTACGTTCCTATTTTTTAACACCGTTATAAATCCAAGCAATGTCCGATACAGAATTCTCGAAATAATATCGTTCGCTTCGTGTAATCTCAAGTTCCGAAAGACTTTGATAACACTGTCAAGCACGTTTGTCACAAAGTCGCTGATTAGTCCCGAAGGAAATTGTGGCATTGTGGTCTTGAAATTTTTCCGATAATCTTGAAATTTCCAACTGCGATGGAGAAACTTACAGCTTGTAATGTCATCTCGTGGTTCTGGATGATGTTTCAAAATTGGTGGAGTTGCACTGACTATTATAGAATCGTCTATACGGTGGCTTATATACCGAGGACCTTCACCGTGAGTTGATTCACCACGAAGAAAGCACTCACTCGCTCTTTTCTCGACTGGCCGATCTCTTTCGCCCTCGATCTTGTTTTCTAGTCTCTATCTTCTTTGAACTTCGTTTCCGAGTCCTCTCGCACGACTAAACGGGTTCAATGGCTCAAGAAGCCTGATAGACATAATAGAAAGAAAAAACATTGACTCGCTATGTGTGTCTTTCTCTCTTTCCAATGCAAGCTGGAGATTGATCATAGACATATTTCTTATATGTTATCATATATTGACATATATCCATAGAAGACATATGACATATATGTTTATATGTCTATCAAATTGATAGACATGCAATCACGTGAAAAGCACATCTTCGCAAAAAAATCAATGATACATACCTATCTTATGAAAACAGATGAATTAAAGATACTTATATTCCTAATTTATAAATAATAATTTTGTTTATATTATGTATTAAGCACAATATATTATATTATAAATTAAATAGAAATATAAATTAAAATTAGATAAAT